GGAGACAACAACATGCATAAAAACAAGACAGAGCAAAACCAAGCAACAATATATAACAAAACAACAACAAACCAATGACAAAAACAAAACAAAACACAACAAGAAAGAAAAGCTTGTGGTTAGTTCAAGGATTGTTTGTTGGCCTTTAGGAGTGTTTTCCAGTCCAGCCTGTTGGGGCACCATGCCCTGGCCCCAAAGTCCACCTTCAGCATTCCACGGGGACCTTGCCGCTCCATTCCCTTGGTGTTCTGTTGTACCCCTTAGTGTTTTGCCTCGGTGAGGCAGGATCAGATCAGGTGCAATTCCCACACTGTGTCTCCGGTGTTGTCCCCTGTAGGGCCATGGGTCAGTGAGGGGCGTCATGTCTCATAGTGGGGCTGGACATGTGGTCCTCTCTGTGGACTGGCTGCTATAATTGGGATCATCGTCCTCAAGGCCTGGTAGGCCGGGATGTGCTCCACTCTCTCCTCCTTCCCCTTCCTCCCAATAAAGTTATAGCAAGTTTTTCCCCCCTCTGTTTGCACTTTTAATTAATACACTTTTTTTTTTCCTATCAACCATAGATATACTCTCTAAAATTCCAACTTTTTAGGATGAGAATGTTAGCAATGTACCTTTATTTTCACCCTGTTCCTCCCTCCATTTGCTTTTCAAGTTTTAACATTTATACTTTATATATATATAATTATATATTTAACACAAAGAATAACATATTATATTTATAGCATCGATTAACTTTCATGGATCGATCCTAGGTTGATCCTAAAAGTTAAAAATCAATTAAGAGCATATGCGTTACGACTGTGTAAATATCTTCACCCCAGAGTCAAGTAGGAAACTAGATTAGCATCCTGGCTTTTTCTAATGGTTCTTCTGACAGGTTGTCTTTCTGTTTGTTCTTGCATTCTCTGCCTGCATAAAATATTCACATTCTTCCAGTGTCTCCATCTTGCCATCTGTCCTGAGGCACCTGCTTCTTTCCCTTAACCCTGCCACTGCCCACTGCCTGCCGAAGGAGAGTTTTCTCCCATGTTCACAAGGATTGGACCCGTTCTTTCCTAATGCCTGTTCTCACGCTCATTTTGACTTGGCTCCTCCTTGGCCCCCTCTTCCTGTCGATCTCCCGAGACAATTAGAATGTAAGATCATCAAGAGCGACTGCTTTCCTCTAGGAGACCCTGCCTACGTCTGGATGAAACATGGGCTCCCGACAGCCATGTGACCCCAACTGCCATCTAGTGCGTCTCACTGTCCCCAGTGCATCACAGCATAGTGTTATATTATAACAAGACAGTAAAAACCTGGCGATTGCCACAGGCTTATTGGGTATCAGTGATGGTGCTCAGAGCTTTACTAAACCATGCGTGTTGGAGTTGATTCAAAGTCATGGTGCCCGTGTGTCAGTGGCTGACTCTGCAGGCATTTCTTCTGAACTCCTTCTGAGTGAACTCAAACCTCCAATCTCTTGGCAGCCAAGTGCTTAACCCTCCCACCCCCAGAGCCATCTAGCCCCCCAAACATCCTGAGAGATGACTGCTCCTAGCATCCTTCTTTCCGAACACGCGAAAACTCGGAGCAGAGAGTTTGGTAATCACTGAGTGAGCTTTCGGACAGCCACTCAGAGTTCGCGCTCACAACCCTGAGGATGAAGTGCCTCTCTCACTGTCGTGCCTCGTCCGTGAAGCTGTACCATCCCTGCAGTGCCTTGAACTGAAGCAATTCTGAACATTTGTCAGGAGTCTCCTGCCTCAAAGTCTGCGGGGCTTTCAGCACTTACCTCCTGGATACGCACCCTCGGCCCTGCTCCAATCCTGCAGTGTAATGCTCTGTGTTTTCATCCTCTTGGCAGATGATAGACGGCCATGACAGCACAAAGGTGAATGTGCAGTTCCTCCGCTCGAACATCGGAATTGTTTCCCAGGAGCCAGTGCTGTTTGCCTGTAGCATCGCAGACAATATCAAATATGGGGACAACACCAAAGAGATCCCCATGGAACAAGTCATAGCAGCCGCCAAGCAGGCTCAGCTGCATGCCTTTGTCATGTCCCTCCCGGAGGTGAGTGCCAAGGCACAGTCCTGTGGAGATGGGGAAGGGCACAGGAGAATGATCAAAAGCATCATAATCATCACTCAAGGAGGCCAGTGTAGCACATAGTATGTCCCACATTGTTTAACCAGCTTGTGGAGATGATTAAACGAAATCCAAGTCCTTTATCCACTCACTCTGTAGTTGGTAAGGCATTGTACTGAAGGCAGTACTGCACTGGACTACTCTGCTTCGAGCAGGGTTGATTCTTAGCTCTGCTGCTCATTAACTGTAGGACTTTGGATAAAAGATTCCCCTCAGAGGATTTGTTGATCTCAAAGCAAATACAAACAGAAACTAAAACTGCAAACATTAAAACGAAACAATATAGGTGATCGCTGCACAATGAAACCGCTGCATGAATCTAGCCTTCCTTCTTGCACTACTGGGCAGCATCTCCTATGCATAGATGAGGTATAGTGCCTCTTGGTCCATCTTACTTTTCCATAGCCAAACCCAAACTTACAGCCACATCGACGACTCTTCCACCCACCAAGAGCCTGTCTGGGGATCGACCACATAAAAAAAAAAAATTAACGAAGGCTGGAAATTAAATTTGAGGAGCTGTGTAGCACCGTTTGCCTTCTTCACTCCTTTCCTTTGAAACCAATTACTATGAGATAATGTTTTTTTGGGCGGTAAGTGATTCTGTTTATAAATTTCGTGGTGTGTGTGTATGTGGTGAGCTTTGTGGTCATCATGCTTGTTTTGTCCCTGAAAACTCGCATTGCTTAAACTCTTGGTTTGCTTCCAGTCTGAGTAATCTAATCCTCACAACATGGGGAGATTCTTTTTTTGCTGCATCCTGTGCTGAAAAGCACATTTTATGTGCCCTCTAGAAGATTCATGAGTCCACAACTCATTTCGTGCTTGACGGTGGCTTGCAATTGGTTTGCCGCCTCTTTCTCATTCAGACCTGCCCCTGCCATCCTTCACTAAGTCCTCCTCCATAAGGACAAATTCCATGGTGATGAGTCTCGTGTGGCTTTAGTAGAGAATTTGTCACGGAATAGGAAGGTAGGAGAAGGGAACAGATCTAGTTGTAGAGGGTGGAGCTGGGAAGTCCTCAAGGACAAGGACACAGAGCTAGAGAAAGTGGCATTTACATCGCACCTTCGCTGCCTACTATGTTCTTGTTCTTGTGTGACTTCCTTACCTCTCTCTGCTTACGTTTTATAATCTATAAAAGAAGGAGAATATATATTTGAGAATAGTAAATAATAATCCAGCTAGAATTGTTAGCATAACTCTGGGGGCATGGAAGATACACCAAGAATGTTAACTATATAAAAAAACGATGTAACCAAGCCAAGCATCTAGCTAGACACTTTCTATTGTAATTTCATCTAAGCTTCACACCACCTGGTTGAGCTAGGTATTAATGCCTGCATTTTTTCAGGTGGGTTTTCAGCTCACACAAATTGAAATCATTTGTTTATGATCCCAGAGCTGGTAAGCAGCAGAGTGGAGAGTCAGCCCTATGCCCGTGTTCCAGGATGGAGTCTTCCAATAAAGGAACAGTGCAGAAACTCTCCCAAAGGGTCCTTCTGCCCCAGGGACTACCATCGCTTTGACAAAACAATCTTCCAGACAAGAGTCACTGACTTGGTCAATTCTTAAGTCAGGGGCAGCCACATCTATAGGATCATCACTGACCACAGGAAGAAAGAATTTAGAAATGCAAGCCTCATACTGGTGGAGAGAAAGGGAACTATTCTCCCTCAGTTTCCCATCACCAAAGGTCACCCAGGCCAGACTTTTCTGAGATTCCTAAACGAATTTGAACTCTTCTCCGGAAGGACTCATACACCATTCCCAGTTTCAGAAGACAACCGAAGCTCACTGCCATCGAGTCCATCAAAAACGCAACACATAGTTTCAATTCCCAGGAAGTTCATTGCTGGGACTTCCCTGTGGCATAAGAGAAATGACGAGCTCTGATCTTCACACGTATCTTACTTTTCCCAGAAATATGAAACTCAGGTTGGAGCTCAGGGATCTCAGCTCTCTCGAGGGGAAAAGCAACGCATTGCTATTGCTCGGGCCATCCTACGCAATCCAAAAATCTTACTGCTAGATGAAGCCACTTCTGCCTTGGACACAGAAAGTGAAAAGGTACAGATTGATTTTCTAAAGTCTTAAATCATTATAAATGAATCTCTGGGTGTAATAGTTGTCCTTATAAAAATGGTACTATTTTCAATTTTCTGATTCATTTACAGTAGAAATTGTCAACATTATATAGAACCAAAAGACAATATTCAAGGGAAAGTGATTTGAAATATGATGCTTCAAAATTTTTTTTAAAATCTTCAATTTTAAAAGAAGAATTATTACTATGAGTTTTTGGACTAGGGAAAAATAATTAGCTTCCTTAATGAAAGTGAGATAATTCTTAGATTATCTGTTAGGAAACCAGGCAGTGGTTCCTTGTGTTGTATGTAGGTTTGCTGAGTTACAATGGACTTGATGGTATGGAACAACAACAAAGTGATGTGACATCACACAGTGCCAAAATAGAAGAGCGGTGTCTAATGTTCGGTACTCAATAAAAGAGACGTAATTGAGCAAAACAAAATAATGAAATTATGCCTTCAATAATTAACACTTTAAAATCAGTAGTCTCTCTTGTAGAGAGCCAAAATGTCCTCAATGAAGAATAGTCCCCACGAAGGAGGGGGAGCGCGGAGTGGAGACCCAAAGCCCATCTGTTGACAATTGGACATCCCCTTACAAAAAGTCACAAGGAAGAGACAAGCCAGTCAGGATGCAGTATAGCACTGATGAAACACACAACTTTCCTCTAGTTCTTTAATGCTTCCTTCCCCACCTCCCCCCACTATCATGATCCCAATTCTACCTTACAAATCTGGCTAGACCAGAGCATGTACACTGCTACAGATTAGAGCTTGAAACACAGGGAATCAGGACAGATAAACCCCTCAGGATCAATAATCAGTGTAGAGCTACCAGAAGGGTAAGGGTAAGGGGGGGGGGGGGGGGGCGGAACCGATCACAATGATCTATCTATAACCCCCTCCCAGGGGGCCAGACAACAGAGAAGTGGGTGAAGGGAGACAATGGTCAGTGTAAGACATGAATAAAATAGTAATTTATAAATGATCAAAAGTTCATGTAGGAGGGAGGGTGGGATGGGGAAATGAGCTGATACCAAGGGCTCAAGTAAAAAGAAAATGTTTTGAAAATGATGATGGCATCATATGTACAACTATGCTTGACACAATGGATATATGTATGGATGGTGATAAGGACTGTAAGAGTCCCCAATAAAAATGATTTTAAAAAAGATATTAGAAAAAAGAGAATAGTTTCCAAACCAAATCAAACTCACTGCTATTGAGTCAATTCCAAATCATAGTAACCCCATAGGACAGGGTAGACCTGCCCCTGTGAGCTTCCGAAACTGTACGTTTTTATGTGAGTAGAAAGCCTTATCTTTCTCCCATGGAACAGCTGGTGGTTCTGAACTGCTGGCCTTGCAATAAGCATCCCAATGGGTAACCACTTCGCTACCAGGGCTCCTTGAAGAAAGCACCAAAAATGACCAGTTGACTGTCACTCTACATTGCCTCCTGGGTTTCATTTTAGCAAACTAGACCATCAAATATAAAATTGCACAATGCCCTTGCAGTTCAAATTATTCTTGCTTCATTGAAATTTCTCAGCTTGTGAATGATAATTTAAATCACCAGAGCATCACTCAATCTTCTCTTATAACGCATCTCTGTGTTTGCTCTGTGCACAGACCTCTGCGCAGGTCGCTGGGTGACACAAACAGTTTGCACTCAGCCACTGACTTGACTTGGTGGCTTGAACCATGGAGGATAGGCCTATCAATCTGTTTCTGGAAAGTTTATAGTCCAGAAAACGCTATGGTATTTGCTTGGGATTGCCATGAGTTGGAATTGACTTGATAGCAATAGATTTTGGTTGTTTTTTTTCAATTGTGACTTCCAAGCCAAAATCAAACCCACAGCATTTGAGTCAATGCTAACTTACACCTGCTCCTTGGAGGTTTATGAGACTGTACATCTTTGCCAGAGCAGACACCCTCGTCTTTCTCCCACAGAGTAGCTGGTGTGTTCGAACTGCTGACCTTGCAGTTAGCAGCCACAATGTGTGCACCCCACGGTGCCACCAGATGCTACTAAACTAAACTCCTGTGAGGGAAAGCTGGGCGGCAGTCATGAACTTCTGCATATGTGTCCATCTCCCCTTTGCAGACTGTGCAAGTTGCCCTGGACAAAGCCAGAGAAGGTCGGACCTGCATAGTCATCGCCCACCGCCTGACCACCATCCAGAACTCGGACATCATCGCCGTCATGTCTCAGGGGGTAGTGGTTGAAAAGGGGACCCACGAAGAACTAATGGATCAGAGAGGAGCCTACTACAAGTTAGTCACCACTGGAGCCCCCATCAGTTGACCTGCCTGAGGGCCTCGTGGACCAATAACGCAGCAACTACTGTGGGACTCTTGTGGGGGGGTGGGGGAGGTGGGGGGGGTTTCTCTTAAAGGAGAAATGATGATATTTTACTTTCACAGTCATTATCTTATACTGAGATACCGGCAAACATTTTATAACGGCAAACTGTCTATAACGATTGAGTCTGAGAAGTCCGTAGATATATAGGGGGGGGCGGGGGAGGTCCGTGTGAGTGCAGCTTCACATGTAAAGCGGTTGTTCAACCCTTACCCAATGCTGCTCCATGCAGGAAACCACGTGTGTCGGGGGACTCAGACTCCTGGCAACCCTGTCCATGTCTGCCGGTGAGCTCCTGGAGGTTTGCAGTGGCCAATATTTTGGAAGTACATCACCAGGGTTATTTTGTTTTGTTTTGTTTTTTAAAGAGGGCACCTGTTGGTGAACTCCAACCCACCCAGCAGCGTTCAGCTAGCTGCGGTACACATTCGCTGTGTGTACCACCCAGGGACGCCTCTCTGCAGGAGCCGGTCCCAATCACTACATGGGAATTAGTGAGAAACCATGGGGAAAATGACGCTTTGAACACCTCGCAGGCAGACATTTGTCTTGTGCATTTTGAAACACTTAAGTGTACCTGGAGGCCAGGCTGTAGGAGGCACACAATTGATGTTTGCTGAGTTGCACTAAATTCGCATGTAAGAGAGAAAAAGAGACTGCCAACCCATGGCCTTTCTGGACTCTTGTTTTCTTTGCACATGGAAGTAGAATTATTCATCTGTAGAGCTGAGGAGCATGCAAGGAAGAAGGTGGATGCGGTCTGCCAGGACACACTGAAGAGCAAGTATCTGCAGGGTTTACGAGTCAGGGAACTGGTCGCTCAGCAGTCAAGAGCTCCAGCGCTCAGCTGCTGGCTGCAAGTCATGCTGCTCTGCAGGGGAAAAACGCAGCCATCTGCTTCCATGAAATGGCTCACAAAAACTCACTGCCCTTGAGTTGATGCCGACGCAGAGTGGTCCCCTAGGCCAGGATAGTCAGGGCGAATCCGTGAACAAACCGTTGGTACCAGGTTTCCCGAAAAGCTAAGTGTACAGAGACACTGTGATCTTTTAGAAGTGGAGGCAGATGGAGCTGAAAACGAACAAATGAATGAAAAGCCCAGAAACAGGAGCAGGTGGGCTGCACTTCCCTTCTCTAGCAGAAGACTGGGTGTTCCCTCGTAGAAAGGCTCTCCCACAGGTCTACAAGTCACGGTAGAAGGAGTGGGCAACACACCGGGGATGGAGGCCTGAGTGTGAACCTGTGTATGCACGAGAAAACTCCCAGCCCTACCTTCTCCTCTGGCAGGAGATCACAAGATAATTCTCTGGGGAATACTAGTTAGCCCAAGACAGGAGACCTACGACCTGGGTGCTGGAAATTCTCCAAAGAAGTGCCCACATAGAAAACTCTAGAGCGAAACCCGCGGGCCATAATGCGTACTGCACAGAGTGTATCCACTGACTTTTCAGTGCCTGACTCTTCCATAAGCCCAAGACTCTCCAAGGTGCTCTTACCACCTTGCTCTGCCAAGGAGCACCAGACACCAACGAAGGATTTCAACACACAAAGGAAAAGCAGTAACAATGAAACACTCAGGAAAAAGGAAATTAGAGGTAACAGACAATATAAGGATCAGGAAAACAATTTTTTTTAATTGGTAATAAATGTACTCAGATACATAAAAGAAGATATTCCCATCAATTTAAATAAAAAGTCCATAAAATAAACATGTAGAAATACAAAAATTTTTAAAACAGTTATTGAAAATAGAAATTAAAAATTCAATAAAAGGATTGCCGTTTTCAACAAGTTCTCCTGTCATCGAGACGTCTTCTGCCTAGTCCATCTCCTCCCCAAACTCCCCCTGTCCACCTGTGCGGGCCCTCTCTTCCCCTGGCAATCAAAGGACATTCTGCCTATGGTTTTAGTCTGAGCTCATGTATATTGGAATGTATTATTTATATCTCTGTTTCAGACCTGTGTTTCATTGACTATGCAAAGGTCTTTAACTGTATGGGTCATGAAAATTATGGATAAAGATGTGTATATGTGTGTATACAGCCATATATATATATATATATGGCTGTATACACACACATACATATATACACACACACACACACACACAAAACCATATATATGTATACAACCACACACACACACACATATTAAGAGAGAGAGAGAGAGAGTGATTGATTCCATTTTTAAACCAAGAAAATGGTTCACATTTTTGTTAGGCTGGCAAGTCCCAAATCTGTGGGTCAGACTGATGACATTTCCTGGCTCACGCGTTACAGAGACTGACAATCCCCAAATCTGCAAGTCAGATGATGACAGACAGCTAATTCACATCCCATGAATCAGAGGCCAAAGGATACTGAGTCAGATGCAGGCTTGATAGAGGGTCAACCTTTCCATAACATCCATATAATGGAGGCAAGTCATACCTGTAGGAAAGTTTCCCTTTTGACTGCTTGGTTGTTCACATCAGATCACCGAAGGCGAATGTTGACCTAATAGCTGTCCAAGCACCAAGAGTCATGGCCTGACTAAACTGATGCACACGTAACTTCAGCCATCACAGTTCTCCTTTTTGTGAGGGGAACATGGGCTCTGTCTCAGCAGGCTGCTTGCTTTCTGGAGTGTAATGTATGGGGTTTTAAACATAAACGAATGAGTTAGTTTTAATAGAATATTTGAATGTTATTGGTGATATGGAATAGATTGACTGCAGAGTGCTTGAAGTAAATTCCTTTTTGAGACTAGATCCAGGAATGAGTTCTGGGCTCTGACTAAATCCTAGCTCCAACTTAAGAACAATTAGTCCTTACATCATGGCCCTGCTCGATTGATACTCACCTTCAGGAAATGATCACTGAAGATAAGGGTGCTACAGCAAAGTGTGGTGAAGAAAGTAGACAGATGGTGCCCGGCCATCAATGAAATGGTGAGTGGGGTCTTCAAGGCTTGTATTCAAGCAAGCAGCCCTCCAAGTGAGGAATCAACTAAGTCCACACAGAAGATTCACACCAGCTTGTGTGATCCAAAGATAACAATTACAAAACTCAAATATGGTGAAGAGAAAAGCATAAGAGCTAAAGTTATGAATACTCAATTTGTAGAAGGCTATGGAGGATAGTGGGAGCCCAAAACCCATCTACAAAGTATATAGTCAGACCTAGCCATTGGCAGATCTGCTGTAGCCAAAGGCCAGAGTCCCGAACAGCCCATTGTAATCTTGATCAGGCTGAGACCATTGGAATCTTGAATATGCTGGATTGAATTTGGTGCTTGGCCAGTCTCTATAGACATGACCTGAATTTGTACTGGCTGTAAGCATCTCTTAGTTGTTCCATGACAAGAAATTTCTTCCCTGGCTTTTTGAATGTTGATGGGGGCCTTCTCCCACTGATGCATTTTTGTATTTTTGTCTTTATACTAATATGATCTTATCCTTACCCCCTTAGAGTGACTTGTTTTTCAGTGTGATTTCCCAGCTACAAAGCACAAGAAGAGTGGGTGCATAATGATAATGACCAATACAAGGTGTTACAGGGAATGCAGGGGAGGGGGATAAGCAATAGGGAGGGAAAGGGGAGTTTGGGAGTAAATCAAGAAGGTGGGAGCGGGGAGGGTGCACAGGAGCTGATTGTGATTTTACAGCTCCTTTTGGGGGCAAATCAACAATGGGGAGAGGGAATGCTCTAGGATGGCTGTGGTGGTGATTGTACAATTCCCCCTGGATATGTTTGGACAATTGAATGATTCAACTCTATGATATGTAAATGATGTGCCAATAAAGTGTTGGGGGAAAAAAGAAAAATAAACGAATGAAGTTGCAGGTTTATTTTACAACACCAGGGGGCTCCCAGAGCTGCATTTTCATCTTGCATCTTGTACCACTAACCAACCGCTGTTCCCAGCCGTCCACGGAACTTGCTGCATCCCCCCTAATGGCGAATCTGTCAGTTCCTCATGTTCTCGTGCTTTGATCAAACTCCTCTTATAACCCTGGTTAATAGAAGGAAAATTTAAAAATGCGAAGAATGAGAAAATAAAATGGAAGCAATTTCCTGGAAAGTATAACCAAAAGATCCTGAAGAGAAAGAAATAGGGAAATAATCCAGATGGTGCAATAGATGAGCAAAAAGCAGGTTCAAGAGGAGAACTCGGAGAGCCCGAGGAGAAGGAGCTGTTACATACAGTTGAACATTTTTCTAGAATTGAAGAATATCCATTGACCGACCTAACAGGTCTGCCAACACCCACTAACAAACGCAATCAAAGACCCTCTCAAGACATGTGATTGTGCAACAGTAGAAAACCGAGGAAAGTGCGCAGCAAGTGTTTGGAGAATGACGAGGGCAATGCATGTACAAATGTGCTTCACACAACTGAGGTGTGTATGGATTGTGATAAGAGTTGTATGAGACCCTAATAAAATTTTTTTAATGGATAATGATATATTAAAAAAAAAAAAAAAACCCCCGAGGAAAAGACCAAGATGCTAAAATTTTCCAGGAGGCAGGTGGAGCCATATTACATAAAACAGCTAGAGCACATTCTAGGGGCTCTGAACAAAAATTGCATTAAACGTCAGGAGACAATAAGATTTGCATTTCAAGTTCTGAGAGCAGCATATTTCCATCGTGGCGCTCGGGTATCAAGAATGAGAGGAGTCTGGAGGCATGCTCAGTCATGCAAGGCGTCAACATGTTAGCTTCCTGTGCTTGCTTCTCACGTCATTACTGACATCAGACTGAAACTAGAGATTGGGAAGATGGTGACCTGTGTTTCATTGACCATGCAAAGGCCTTTAACTCTGTGAGTCAAGATACATTAGGGATAACGATGTGAAGAATGGGGATTCCAGGACACTTCATTGTGTCCATGTGGAATCTGTATGTGGACCAAGAAGCAGTTGTTCAAACAGAACAAAGGGGACAGACACTGTGCGGTTTAAAATCCCGAAAGGCGTGTGTCCGTTTAACCTCCTTATTTAA